TCACAGAAGGTAGGATACAGATAGTTACCAAAGCATTCTTTGAAATCTACTACACTCACATGTAGTAGGAATGAAAGGCAATCCCTACCCTTCCCCTAGTCCATTCCTTAATAGAAATGCCTGTTCTGTGCACATGAGGCAGTGGAGCAGAGAGAGAAACAAGAGAAGAGAAATAAGGCCAGGGAGGGAGGGCTGCTGACCTCTTGAGATTTGTAGAAGATAGCAATGTCTTTCTTCCTTATCACTTATAGTATTGAGAGCTTCTGTGTGTTCCATCAGCTCAGCTGGGCATTGACAAGAAGATAGGTCTCTTCCAAGACAGAAGCCAGGCCAAATATAAAGGGAAAGGTTCCTGAGCTCTAGCAGAATAGCCACCTCCTCAAAGTACCTTCCTCCAAGTTCTATTAAGATAGGCCAGGTTATGCTGCAGAAACACATGACACCAGCGTTTCAGTGATTTAATGTAACAAATGGTTATTTTTCATTCCCCCCAAATCCACTACATGTCTAGGAACTCTCTAGAATAGCTGCCCTTCATGCAGGGGCCCAGGGGTCCAGACTACTTCAACTTCATGGCTCCTCTTTATGTGCTTCCATGACTTAGGCAGGAGAGAGTACTAGTTTTACACCATCTAATAAATGTGTCAACCCAGAAGTGAGGCTTCTGCAAAACTCACTAACCAAAACTGTCTCATGACCCCCACCTGCAAGGGCAAACCATTCTCTTAATTGATCTTAGAAAATAAGCTCCAGGGCGGCACCTGTGGTTCTAAGGAGTAGGGCGCTGGCCCCATATGCCAGAGGTGGCAGGTTCAAACCCAGCCCTGGCCCAAAAAAAGGATATAAGCTCCAGAAGGGAATGCATATTGTCTTCGCTTGTACACTGCTGTGGCCTGAGTCTAGGACAGCGCCTGGCACATCACAGGCCCTCACTAAATTGAAATCCACACATGATGTGAGATAAGAAACAAAGAGTGTCAGGGGACTATGGCTTGAGAGGGTGTCAGGTAAGAGTTATGCAGACCAGAGGTTCTGAGCTGGCTGTACTTAAGAAATAAGACTTGATGGGCAGTGTCTGTGGCTCC